AAACCCAAACCCAACCCCTTCAAATTAAAATCCTTCTTTAAAATTAAATAATCTAAAATATAATTAAATTATTTTATATTTTATTTAATTGAATAATTAAAGTTTTTAAGAATTCTAAATAAAAATTGTTAATATATATAATATTATTATAAAAATCGGCATTGTAACCAAAAAGAACATAATTATCAAATTAGGTTATTACATATTCAGAATAATCAAATCATTATTATTAACATTATTTACATTTGTCTATTTTTTATAATGTCATTTTTTTCATTTACTAGATTATTCTATTAAATACCAAAAGCATAAATAAAGATAAGATAATATAAGATTTTTTAGAATTTCACTGATTTATCTATGCTTTCAAATAAACTGATTATTAAATTTGAGATTAACATTACTGAAAAAAGTCTAATATTTGTCCATCCAAAGAGTAAGAGGTAATCATAGTTTATTTCAAAACTATAAATTATGAACAACCCTGTATAAGTTTGGCATATTCATAATTAGACTATAAAGTTCTAGATTTGATTAGATATCTTAAATAGAAAAAAGAGTATATAGAGAGTAATATTGATTATATTTCTGGAAAGTTTAGTGCTTAAACAATAATAAATATGTAAAACATAATTCGATAATTTTAAAAGGATCCAAAAAGCCTAAAACTAATTTTTAGAATTTGGATAAAAATATTTCTATTTCTATTTAAATTTGAAATTAGAGGATGCGATTGTAAACATATAAATAAATTTAATTCTAATCCAATTATTGCATTAATGCTATTAAAAATAATAAGTTGAGAATTGAAGCTAACACTATAAAATGTAACTAAAGCTTCTTATAAATAATGTTAATATTGAACCAAAAATAGAGAAATAATAACTTTTGGCATTCATCAAATAAAATTAATTTATTTAAAGATATATTGGAATAAGTTTTTAAAAATGAAATGAAATGAAGGGGTAATGGTTATTAAGACAAAGATTGTAATAAATCTAATAGATTAAAAAATAAAAAGGCATTTTCAATCAACAAAGATAATCCTGATATGCTGATCATTGAATAGATCATAGTATCATTAAGTTAAGTTACGCTATTTCTGTAGTTTCTGATAGCAAAAAGTGTTTACCAAGAGTTATTTTCTCTTTATTTTTTGCTAGTTCTAAAACATACTCATTTCTTATAAATGATATAATTAAAGTAAAAATCTTCTTCAGGTTCTATAAATTCAATAACTAACTAATAAATAACATAATCTAAAGTTGTTAATAAATTTACTCAATGTTTTATATCAATGTCAGCACTGCTTTATGGAATAATTTCATCTAATGCAAATTCCTCAAAACTTATATCATCGATTACTTTTAACTTTTTATGTGAATGTTAATTTAAGTTGTGTTCATTTTGTTTGAGAGAATCTATAATAAAAATTTAGAATATTAAATATATCTCTAATTTATTAGATTTAATATACTCCCAAAAATTCCTTGATAAATCAATCCATAAATCATTCTTATTTCCTTAATTATTATAACATCCACCAGCTCTTTAATTTAATTAAATGTGTACATTAATTTAAAGTTTTCATAATATAATCTTACCAACAATATCTCCCCACTTTATTGATTTTACTATATAATATAATACATGACTAATTTTTTTCTCTTATTATCCATTTTGAATATTTTTGCTAATTTATAATTCCCAATTAAAAAACTCTATGTTTTTTTAAAAATATAAATACTTCATATAATTCGGTCCATTTGCCAATTTTTTTCCATTCTATCCGTAAAATCCTCTTACATTTTTTTTTTATTTTTTGACCATAGCTTGCAGACCATTATCCAATTTTCTTATTTTTTTCATTAGTATTGTATTGCCTATCCAAGAAAATTTTTTAATGAATTGAATATTTTTCTTAATTTTTCATTTTTCATTTGGATCTATCTTTTCTCTATATATAAATGTTAATACTTACATTTATATGGCAAATATAATTAATTCAATAATGATATTTTGCATATTATTTAATAGTTTATTTTAGATAAAGTTATCATTTAAATCAAGGATCAATTTGATTATTTTTACATCGATATCTCTTACAGTAAGCATCATTACACGTTTACTCATTTACCTGGTTAAAAAACAGAACATAATTTTTTAAACTATCATACTATTTATTCTGCTTTAATATAATCAACAAATTTAGAATAATTTATATATTTTTTATTTCATTATCATCATAATAATATCACCTCATAATTATTCAAGAACTAATAAGTTGATCTTTAATAACAGAATTTCATTTGTTATTAAAAAAATTTAAATTATAATCTAATGTTCAAGAGATGAACTAATTAAGCACAGTAACGGAACAATCTGGTGATGGAAATTATCATTAGCTAGTTTTCTTGTCCTTTAAACTGCTAAAATTGCTAATTTGGTAGATGTTAGGAATAAATTACCTAATTCCAATAGAATATTTAATCATAAGGACTTTGTACAAAAAATCTTTAAATTATAATGTTTTATTAAAGTTTAGGTTATTGGTATAAAATTTAATAAAAAAATTATAATATTATAATTCTAATGATCGATAACTAAATGCTCTTTAACAACTTCCCTAAAAT